AAACAGGGGCTCACTATGTAGTTTAGGCTGGCCTTAAACTCAGTGATCCTCTTGCTTTAGCCTCCTGAGGACCTGGGATTACAGGTGCGCACCAAACACACCCGGCTTTTTTTTTTGTAAGAATATTTTATGTCTTGTACTCTACTTTAAAGATGATACACAGTGTAAAACCTACTGTTACTCTCTTAAATACATAATTTCATTCTGTTTTTTATAAATCACCCCAATACATGTTGCTGCTTATATTTTAAATAATTTATCTGTACAAATACTTCTCAAAAATTTTAATTATCAAGAATACCCTAATTAGTGTTTTAATCAGTGTGTGTTGAGACAAGCCCAATCAAGTGATCTCATATGCACAAAGGAAGAGCTCTCCTAAAACAAAAGGCTTGTATAAGCTGCTTTAGTTATAGGTAAGTCCAAAAACACCCTAAGCAAGGAGGGTAAAGACAGCACCATCTACCCTAAATACTCTCATAGCAAAGTCCTCAGGATACTCACCTAACGATGTTGTCTTACCAGTAATAACATGTGGAGCATGTTTCGTAGCAGCTGAAATGGGGGGAGTGCTCTTTAATTGGTCACAAGAATCATCCTTGACATTACAGAAAAAGTGGGAAACATCTCTAGCTATTTATATGTAGCATTTCATGAAAGTCATCAAGGACACATCAAATTTAATTAAAAAGCAACCTCTGGCTTGGCATGGTGGCACACTCCTTGTAATCTCATCATGTGGAGAGGCTGAGGAAGGAGGATCCCAAGTACAAGCCCAGCCTGGGCAACCTGCAATTTAGTGAGACACTACCTCAAAATTTAAAAATTTCAGAGATGCTGGGGATGTAGCTCAGTGTGAAGACTCTGGGTTCAGTCCCCAGTATGATTAACAAAACAACAACAAAACCCCAGAAGAGCTGTTTAGATACCTTCAAACATCAGGCCAGACTCTGGTATCTTTGAAGACTATATTAAACCCTTGGTGAAACAGTCACCAGGCTTAAGCAGGTCAATAAAAGTAGAATTTACTGCTCACAGACAAACAGTTATATTTTCTCCATTCAATTAGAAAATTGGCTCCCTGAGGGCTGGCCAGATAGCTCAGCAGATTAAAGTGCCTGCTTAGGCAGATGCAGCGGGGTTTGATCCCCAGCATGCTATGCTGGCCCCGTCCCCCAAGGTGTGTAGAGCAGGCAATTGAGACTGGGCACACTGACATGCGCCTGTAATCCCAGCACTTGGGGGGCTGAAAACAGGAAGATCACGAGTCCTACCTGTGTACTGAGATCCTGTACTAAATACATACAAATAAATAAATATAAATAAAAAACGGCTACTTAAGAGCAAGCAGAAATTGAGCATTATTTGTTGTTAGACATATATTTTATGTTTTTACACAGAAGAATAAAGTAAGTTAATTTCCAACTGAGATGACTATAAATATTTAACTTTTCACCATGCTGGACTCAGGGATCTTGAGCTTCTGCAGGTTGGTCACATGGTCACCTAGCTCTTTTTTTTTTTTTTTTGCAGAACCAGGGATTGAACTCAGGCCCTTGTGCTTGCCAGGGAAGCACTTATTCCACTGAGCCATCTCCCCGGCTAAATATTTAACTGTTAAATATTCTTAACTTTTAAAATGTTTAACTAAAAGACCTTACAAAATACGTAGTAAGCATTTTTTGTTTTTCTCCGTGTCATACGTGTTCTGAAATCCTAAAGACTAAAACACTAATCCCAAAATGGGTCAAATTAAACCCTTATTTCAAAACCAACATGCTGACTTTTGGACACATCAAAAGCCAGCAAGCCTTCTTAGCTGAAATAGCATCAATAAAAGCACAATGTATTTGTACATTAGGAAGCTCAGCTCTGGGAACAGGAATGACAATAAACGTATCTTTTTTCATTTAGGGTAGTATTAAACCAAAGCTATCTTCAAGTGAGCCAAATCGATGGCTCATTAATTCTACTGAATTATAAACAAGATAGTAAAAGGGTAAATTTTATGTCATATATATTTTGCCAAAAATTTTTTTAAATTAATGTAATAAACCAAAACCCAACAGAGTGTGCATTTAAATGGATACACCGTGGGATATGTGATTTGTATCTTAATAAAACTATTTTTTAAACAGCTACAATGTTGTCTGCTTCTGGCAGAATCCTGGCCGCTACCTTACTGAGGAGGTTCATGGAGGATACAGCAGATACTCCTGCAAGTGGGAAGCGTCTGAGTACTGCCATTGAGACTTTGTCATGAGCTACAAGCTCCTTGACTCTTCTAAAATAAATTGTGTAAGACAATAAAAATGCACACAAATAAAAAGTCACATACTTGGTTCCTTTAAGCTTATTTAATATTTGAACTCTTATTTTCTATTTTCCCAGGCCCCAGAAAACAGAAAGTTTTTAGATGACCAATATTTTGTTCCAGAAACATACAGCCTTATTAGCTAATTCATAAAAGAGCTATTTTACAAAGGTATATCTGGATAATTAGAACAATAAAGTCTTTTAGGTATTTCAAAATGTGATCAGTAAAAATACATGATTATTAATAAAGTTCTTTTAAAGATAGTTCCAGATTTTTTTAAAAGCAATTTCTGTTAAAGAGTACATGATTGTATGGTGAACAGGAAAATAAAATGTTCTAGTAGGAAGAAGCTTATTAAAAATAACCAACAGTGTGCACATTACAGTTACCATTTTTGAAATACTTCTGCTTAGCAGTTGGCACCTGGAAACGGCAGGGAGGCTTCCTTCGAGGAGGTACATATGTCCCTACTAATTTATTACCACAACGCCCAGCTTCAGTGGTGAAGGCCTAGGGAGTAAGACAACAGGAATTCCTGAAGACAGAATGCTTTTGCAGATCACTCTAAAAAGGCAGCCATGTCAGAAAACACAAAACGGGGGGAGGGGCTTAGCCCACAGCGCGCTGCAGGAAGCTGCTCATAGTTCTGCATCCGGAGCGCTCCCGCCCTATCCTCTGCAGTGTCCTCCAGGACCCGTAGGAAAGGAAACACTGACCAGCACTCTAGCAGTTCCAAGTAACATCACGCAGCAACTTCGCGGGAGACAGCTTCCACAGCGAAATATGGATGCCCCAGGTAATGCGGTAATTTACAAAATGTCAAAAAAAGACCCAAGAAATGACAATTTGCAGGAAATATATCTTCTAAGAATCAGGGAAGAAAAGATCTTTTTCCTCTGTTGTCACAGTAGCTCTTTCTCCCTCCTCAAAACAGTAAGAAACAAATAAAAGGGGACTTACTTCGTAATAGTCATTAGAAGTTGTTTTGGGGGAAAGAAAGCCGAAAGCTCTTACTATGTACCTCCCATGCAATATAATAAATAGTTAAAATTTAAGTTCTAAAAGCCAACATAACTCTAACAGTCCAAGTTAGCTGATTTTAAAGTATATAAAATATATGGTAAGGATGATAATGATATTTTTAAATTACAGCACTTCTCTGATTGCCTTAAGTCTGTTCTCTAAAAAGGAGGGAGACACTTCTAATGTAATTTGGCACTTCATAGCAAAGGAGCCATTGAGCCGGCTAGAGAGCTGAGTGTCACTTGCAGGTCACTTCCACAGCTACCACAGAGCTTTCTGGCTTTGGGAAGACTATTTTCCATTTCCTTGCACAAGAACAGATTCCAACTTGTAGTCATATAACTTTAACCACTTTGAGATGAGAACTAGTCTCACTCAAAGATAGGGAAAAAATCTCACTCAATCATCCTAAGAGGCAGACAGGAGAATCTTGTGGATTTGGTTATAATGAATGGCCAAGATGAAATGGGAGGCATGGGAAGCCAGGCTGGAGGGGGAGAAAGGAAAAAGGTAAGATCAAAGGAATGCTCAAAACGGTGTTGTTTTGTTTTGTTTCCAGAATTAACTTGTCCTGGGGCTTCAATTGAAAATCTAATTCATTTGCAAGTATTACAGCTATAGTCCAAGTATTTTTTTTCAGTTAGCTCTGTTATGGTGCAAAGGAGAGAAAGCAAAAAATAATCATGAAGAACAAGATAACGGCTGATGTTGACGAGCAAACAAAGCTCCATTCAAGTTTTCTGAGTGCTAGAGAATTATGCAGTGACCTGTAGTGTCTGCGGTTAAGGGGAACATCGTGTTACATTTACCTCTCTCCTGCCTCCTCATAGTTTAGTGGCAGATGGCTACAAGCGTAACCCTTTTCCTTGGGAGTGAAGTTATTTCCAGCAGCACAATATAACCATTTGGTTTCTACTTGATTCTCCTAAGAGATACAGAAAGTTCCAAATTCCAAGCTTCACTTATATATTAGCTTCTGCTTCTAAAATTTTAAAGCCCATTCTGATTGAATTATACTTGACCTATGACTAGAAATATAATTGCAATTGATAGATGAGGTACAAAGATAAAAGGTGATCTACCTAAAAACAGGCCAAATTTGAAGAACAGAAACAGGAATCTGGACACAAATAAACGAGCTTGTTAAGCTGTAGTGGTGTTTATAAAAGTTGGGAATCCTTACCACTTATGGTGAGAGGAAAACTTCCCTTTTGGGGTAGGGCTGGGGGGACTGTCGGAAAGAATAAAATTATAACCGACTACCCACAGAATTTAGTGGGCACTGTTGAAAAATGTAAGCAATGGACGAACTCCTTGTTTATTAACAGAATTTACAGATTAGCAAATGACTTTTAGTCGGAAAAGTATTTCAATAATATTTACCTAATGCACAAAGAACATCAGACAGCTGATGTAGTTAAAGGAGTTCTCAAGTCACACTTCTGCCACGTCTGTCCTCTGCGGGCGCTGCCAACGTTGCTATCACCCTGGCACAGGCAGCCCCAACGCTGCTGCAGCATCCAGCGTATACTCTGGCCTGCATTTCCTAAGGTCATTCGAGGCCCAGTGAGCAGAGCTGCAGTGGCAAAGGCAGAGGACATGCCTCTGGAGCTGCTGGGAGCAGTTCTGCCGCCTCCACCACATCTCTGTGCACTCCAGCGTGTTCTCCTTGGGGCTCAATGAGCCCTTTGGCACCATCAGTGCAAAAAATTCGAGTCAAACCTCCAGGTACTATTATTTTACTGGCCTTACAATTAGCAGTACCGGTGGCTAACAACAGCCATGGTTCAACTCAGTAGTGATTCAGTTTAGATAACCTTCCCAAACTCTTCCCCCCATCCCGCCCTTCCTTAGCAACCCCCACCACCACTGCCACCACCGCCACCACCACCACCACGGAAGCATTTCCATTTGTTTGTTGTTACTTCCTGCTCAATCTGCAGGGATGTTTTTACACAAGTGCCAATATCTAATGCATAATTATACAAATGAAACAATACCAATAACAAATTTATAATCAAGAAAATAAAAATTTGCTTTCTTTTCCCTCCCAAATCCCAACCCTCAATAAAAAGACAATAGAAGAAAATACACCCATTTTCAAGTCCCTGCTATTTAGAACATTGAGGATTCTTGTTAACTGGGGGCAGATCCCAGCTAGAGAAGTACCTGCCCCGGGTGGCAGGAAGCCCACATACTCTGCTCACCTGGGCAGCACCCAGCTTGAGTTCTCTGCACCTAAGGGCCACAGAGCACACCATGCCCGCAGGGGAACCCTCAGAAAAGCAGTGTTCTGGGCAGTGGAGGGCATGGCACGGACTTCAGTGAAGGTGAGATGTTTCTCCTCCCTTCCCCTTCTCGCTTTCGCTTTTGTATTACCTCTCTATTAACCTTCTTGTACCCCATCCTGACCTCTGCTTCAGGAGCAATTGATCCTTGGGTGTACTAAATACAAAAGGCTAAAACTCTCACTACTTAAAACAAAACAGAGCAAATAAAAATTAAAATGTGCTTTCAAATATGGAATGAGTCAAATAAATACATCTGATTTTCTCTTTTTCTTATGTCTAAGTACAATTTTATATACTACACCCAAAGCTCTATACATTTGGTTTTTGTTCTGAATCAAAATGACTTTCCAACAGTGAGGAGAGTGAGGCAATGGACCTTCCCTCACTGACAGGCCAGTGAGCTGCCAGACTGTGAAGAACTAGTCCCGCTCCGGGCACCTTGGGACATGGCTAGTCCCCAGCGGTTCTCAGGCAGGTCCTCTAGCACACTATCTGCATCCACACTGAGCCGGGATGTGGTTGATACAAGGCCGATGCTCAAAGTCCAACAACCTGCAGTCACCTCCAGGACACTCGGCTCTAACTTTTATCTGAGGAGAAAAAGATATATGCAAACTGGGTTAAGCACAACTGAACAGGCAAAAACCCCAAACAACAAAATTCCAAGAAGAACGTATGAAATCTGTGGGCAAGGGTATGTGCTTGTAGTACCTCCTGGAAGTATCCAAGCTAGTGACTATGCGCTGTGGCAGTAAACAAAGACTGACACGTAGTCAAAGGGAGACGCTGGCCTCACTGTCGGAAAGGCACTGACGTATGAGGAGGACCAATTTTCCTCACTGGAAAGTCATAGTAGCATTAGCACAACACAATGAATTCATGATTTATCAGGTGTCCTGATGCTTGTGCTTTTGAAAAGGTGAAGAGCAAGAGAAAAGAGGGATAGCGTGGGAACTGACAATGGCAGTTCTTCTGAGAAAAAGAAGAGCACTGTCAGCAGACAAGAGCTTCCACTTGATATATGATGTTTAGAAACACAGTTTTTAAAAACAGAAGAGAAATGGAATCTCAGGAGGTTTTCATTTTAAAGAATAATAAATCTGCTATTCAATGTACTGTTTTGGCAGGATGATTCTAGAGTCAGATACCCACAATTTCATATACCTGAGTGCTTGTCTGTGAGGGCTGATCCAGACAGCCTTTGGCAAAGAAGGGTGTAGCTTTCCTCCACCTTCTGTAAAATAAAACCCGAGAGCTTTGGACATTTGGACAGCATAAGAAAAACAAAAAACAAAAAACCGTTCAAAGTAGGAAAGAAGGCATTTTATGGTTTGCGTTAGGGTTAGGGAGATTTCAACATTAATACTGACCATTAATAATTTTGTTAATGTGAGTGAGGCTTGGGGACCTACTAAAGGGTTAGGGAGACATATCAGTGGCATAAGCACCTGCCTGGCAAGCATAAGTCCTGAATTCAATCCCCGGTAACAAGATATTACTACTAATAATAATTTTGTTAATGTATAGAGGGAAAATAAATTCTCTTTTTTCATTCCTCCTTTGACCAGCTTCAAATACCCCCAGGAAAAATGTATGTGCATGAGGGTGGGCAGGAAAGGCAACTCTCCCTCTCCAGCAGGAGCCTGAATGCAGCCTCACATCATGTGGTAGAAACTACTCGAGGGCCAACTGCCCACAGCAGGCTTCTCGCTATTTCATTTAGTCATATGAAAATCTACTATATGAAGTTAAAAAAATTAAGAGTGAACAATCTTTAGCTAAAAGATGAAGAACATGCTTTTAAATCAGTTCCTAAAGCCTTCCAACTAAATGATGTGATAAAAAATACATGAACTCTATCCACTAGCTGCCGTCTACCAAAGGCCAACTGTAGTAGGGTCCTTTTCTTCAAAAGTGCCACATAAGTCATTTTTGAAACAGAGACATCTTCCAGTACCAACTTCTAAAACATCCTATTCATGTCCAAGAGTGTGGATTGCAGGAGCCTCTGAGGCCAGCTGCTGCCTGTCATGGCACCTAGAAAACTCCCAGCATGACCTTATGAGTCACAGGTGATTAACAGGTCACAGCAAGGCACAGCAACTCGTAGCCCAAATTCAGAACTACACAAACCCTACTGTTTATGTTATCTGATGGCTGCCCGACAACTTCCTGGGTATTTAACTTTTTTTTTTTGTAAGGGTAGAAGTGGTTGAGGCAGGGTCTTGCTACGCAGTTCAGGGTGGCCTTGAACTCACTATGAAGCCCAGGCTGGGCTCAAACTCACAACTCTCCTACCTCTGCCTCCCAAGTGCTGGGCTTACAGGCCATTTTGACACTCTTAAACTTAAAAACACAAACAGTTACAGAGGTACAACATTTTCTCTGCTTGTGATATGTCACAAGATAAACAGTGTACATCTTAGCTTTTTATCTATGCCTATTATGAATAAAACCCTAAAGATCCAAAACCTGGACAAGTCTACTTGCATCGGCATTTCAGTGATTCCTTACTTTTGTTCTGCTAAGCGTGTTTCTTATGATTAAGTCTTATAGATGCTTAAGTGTAAGGTACCTTTAAGTGTTCAAGGTCAGCCTCTATCTTACGAATGTACTCCATGATCTGGCTTTGCGAGTCTGTGCAAGAGGAAGGACTCTGGATCTCAAAACAGGAATCCTCCACAGCTCCCCAGCGCCGCTGGACCAGGAATTCCGTGGTAAATGGTGAAGCTGCCCCATCAGAATGAGCACTCTGGGGAGAGTACTGTTGCTGGTAGGGAGAGTCCACAGTAGGGATGCCTGCCACAGGCTGCAGGGCGAATGAGGAAGTCACCTCCTCGTCTGTGGAGCTCTCCTGCACTGCGTCATAGCCATCAAGAATCAAGCAATTTCCTATCGAAGAAGACAGAGTGCTCCGGTGAGATGAGCACTGACGTTAGGAAGTCAGAAAACAGGCTTCTGTGCTGACGACTAAACAGCTACTAAGGAAATCTATTAACTCCAAAGGTTCAAGTCTACCAGGATGTACTTATGTCAGATTACAGCTAAACTTGGTAAACTTTCATGGTAGCTCCTAAATAATTTCACATTAGCATTTGCAAATTTTAAAGCTAGAAGCCTTGGAGGACAACCCGCTCAGGCCCCTCCTTTCCCTCTCTCAGACAGGAGCTTTCTTTCCCTCAATAAATATATTCTGCTCATAAAAATAAATAAAGCTGGAAGTCTAAAGTCCTATAGGATCTCACCAGCACACGCTGCTCTACCCATCACGGCTCTTCTCTGGACCCTCCCACATTCTCTCGCATGCCCAGACCAAAAGTGCTCCCAGGCACCCGCAGGGAGCTGTGCTCAGCAAAAGTCCACTTCCCTGCAATCCCTGACTGCCCTCATCACTCGGCCCCGTCTGACTTATTTTCTTGCTAAGGCGGACATCTGTTTTCTTCTTCCTACTCTTTCGCCTAAGAGTAATTACAATTCTTGAGAACAGGGGACTTCCCTATATTCTACTCAGTTCTCTATTTCCTAGACGCTAGTAATTTCCTGTATGAAGGAGTAAATTAATAACATACAGAAATACACACAAATAATGCTCGGATACTGAAACAATATTCACCCCAGTATACAGGACAGTTAACAATGATCAAAATAAAAATTTAAAGATAAAGAAACTTGCCTGAGATGTGTAAATTAACATCCTTCTCTTCTTTTTTAATTGCTCCATCACCTTCTGATGGATTATCATCACAATGTGCTTCATGGGCATCAAAAAAGTGCTCTCCACTCTCATCAAGACCCCCTTCTGGATCTGTGGTAGACATCTCTGGGGTCAGAATCATGTGGTCCATTACTAAAATGTTACTTGCCTGGCTGTCTTGGGATGCCAGTACCACTGAATCCAGTGGAACAGATTCAGCTGAAGTCCGTGCACTGTAACAACCTGCAGTGTCACCAGTTCCAGTTCTAAAGGGCATCTGTCCTTCGGCAGGATGGTAGGCCTTAGTACTTCCAGAGTTCTGGATTCCACGGTCAGCCTGTGCCTCCTGAGAGGATAGCCTGTGTCTGGGGAAATGCTGCCAGTCTTCTTGATTGCTCTTCTCAGCCAAACTCAGCTGCTGTACCAGTAACTGCTTCAACAAACCCACTGACAAGTTAGGGCAGGGGAGGAAGTAAAAAACAAGAGGAAGAAAGAAAAGAAAAGCACATTTAGATTGCCAAGATTAGCTAAATTACCAATCATCTTTAAACTAAGTACCTTTTGATTATATAACCAAAATTTTAATCTTTTTCCAGTACTGAGAACTGAACCCAGAACCTCACACATGCTAGGCAACACTCTAGCTCTGAACTACAGCCCTCGTCCCAAAATATTTATTTTATACAATCACTTGTTTTGAAAAAAAGAAGTAATGTGTATCTTCTAAAGAACACAGAATACTAAACTAGCACTGACGAGAGTTAAGCATCCTAAGTAGGTAAGTGTTCCTGCTTAAAATTCCACACACAAACACTATTTTCTGTGCAACTGAAATAACAATCTAAAGGGACATAAGGATGCTAAGGCTGTGCTAGGTTAGACAAAAAAGCTAAACGTGCGGTTTTGTCCTGAAGCAAACACTGTACGTATTGGTATGTCTCCACATTTTTATTAGACACATACAACACTTGCTTTATGATTTATAGTAACTCAAGAATCTCCTAAAATGGCTGAACAGATAAAATTGCCTCGTTATAAAATTTAATTCCAGGGGCCGGGGAAATGGCTCAGTAGAATAAGCACTTCCCTGGCAGGCACAAGGGCCTGCGTTCAATCTCCAGTTCCACCAAAAATAAATAAATAAATAAATAATAAAATTTAATTCCAATGACTGGCAGTAACATACACATATACATATATATGTACATGTACATATGTATAATTTCAAAAATGAGACTGATCAGTACTTTTCGAAGTAACTACCGTACTAGTGGCGCAGCTTCTTTAGTTTACTGAGTAAGACCCAGTTAAACTCTGAATGGGCTAAAATCGTACCGAGTTCACTGATACAGTGACAGTGCTCTTGGGTAACGTTACTCAAACCATCAGAATCACTAAGCCTGTTCACTCAGGAGAATCTAAGGGTAGATTTCGATGGCCAATTCCTTAGCATCATAATGGGCTTCACAGGTACCTGATGTTTCTTCAGGTAAACAGCTTCCATATGTGTCTGCGTGTCTGATCATCTTTCTGTTTTACATTCACTTTCAGAGAGATGCCATGAATTCTTATGGCTTTGGCACCCAAATTTCTCTTCCCAATCTCACCAGGCCTAAAAGTCCAAGTTTCCTCCACTCACTTTCTCTTGAATGGCTTGTCCTTCATTATCTTAATCTTGACATGTTTTAAAATGGAAGGTAGAGAAGGGAGTAGAGGTTCCTTCTGCTTGTTAGTTCCAACTGAAAAGAATACTGCCACTGTCTCCAGATACTCCTTTTTCTTTGCCCTCATAGCCAGATAAGTCAATTATTCTAAAAATGTGATGACTCCTCCTTTGAGTCTAAAATCATTCTAGTCTAAACCCTTTCAGTATCGATCCCAGACCACTATAATCGCTCACTGAGCAAGTGCACCACTCCAGCCCTCTTTCCATTAAAATCCTTGAGCAGCTCTCCACTAGAATCTTTTTATTTATTTGTTTATTATTTTTTATGTATTTAGTACAGGGTCTACAGGGTCTTACTACACAGGTTGGACTCAGTGATCCTTGCTGTTTTCAGTCACCCAAGCGCTGGGATTACAGGTGCGCACCACCATGCCCAGTCTCAATGAAAGTCTCAGCACAGCCTGGGGCAGGGCCCGGCCCTGGCACGGCACACTGGGAACGAATCCCGGTCCTTGCACTCTGCCTAAGCAGGCACTTTAATCCACTGAGCTATCTGACCGGCCCCTAGAGTAATCTTTTATCATTAGTCATGCCCTAGCTTTAAAACCTCTAGTGGATTTCTACAGCTAGAGCAACTATTTATAGACTTTCCCCCACTTCCTTACACCTGAAGATATGCTAGTCTCCCACGGCTGCTGGTGATTTTCAGCTAGGCTAGAGGGGAAGGAGGCAGCTAGCAGAGTGCCGATGTGTGTGTGCGTGCATGCGTGTGCACACGAGCACGTGCAAGCGCTGAACTCTGGCAGAGAATATTACGATGTCCAAGAGAGAGCCAGAAGGACACGCATAGTTTCGAAAAGGCTTACAACACTGTGATGGGCTCCTTGAGGCATAGAGCCCCCAGTCTGGTGTCCGAAGTTCACCACAGCCGGACACAACAGCATGCTTTCAACCTTCCCAACTCTCCACACCCCTTTCACTTATAGCCCCTGCCACAGCCTCCCTGCTCCTCAGTATCCTTATATCGTCCTTTCTGTGTTTTGGTCCTATCATTATTCCTATCTGAATGACTTCTGTTCTTTCACAAACCTGTTCAAATCTTACCCATCCTTCAATACAGTAATCATATCTCTCTTGTTCTCTAATGTCTCCCTTCTCTGTTCACCCCAATCCAGATGAATTTTGACACATGAGCAATGCTGACTCAAAGGTGGGGGTGGAATGGGTAGGCAGAGTTTCCATCATCTTCCCCACTAAAATACAAATTTCTTGAAGGGAAAAGTTATAGCTTAGACTTCTTTAGATTCCCCCTAGATAACTTCAGTGTATTACACAACTTCTGGACTTAAGAGATGTGGTACACCCATCATCCCAGCACTTGCGAGGCTGAGGCTAGAGGATCACCCTGAGTACGAGGTTAGCCTGGGCTACATAGTGAGTTCAAGCTAGTCAGAACAACTTACATAGTAAGACCCTCCCTCAAAAAACAAACAAACAAACAAACAAACAAACAACCCAAGTACCTGTAGTAAGTTATAAATAAAACTTACAATTCCTTAGTGCATCCAATGCCCACCGTTCCTCTGAGACAGGCACGTGTGGATCTGGGATTGTGATGTGATAGTTTTCTCCGCTTTCCTGTAGTGTCCCATCTGCATGCTGCTCCTTTGCAAACTGTCTCTCAGCCACAAAGAGATCAACGGCCTCTGATTTTTCAGAAGTACTCAGTGAATGGGTCTGAGGTTTTGATGATATTAAGGAAGATTCTAATCCCAAATCTCTATCTAATCAGTGGAATGGAAAAGGCAGAGTATATCTTAATAAAACTTTAAACCTTAACACGAACATTCAGGAACTACTTGGAAAATAATAACCACCTAAGCTACAGAGATCTGCTAAGTAGAATATCCAACACTCAGGACAGTGCTATGCTGGCACAGTGAAGGCTCCAAAACAGTTTTCAAAATGCTAGAACCTGCATAAACCAAAAGCTTCCAAGTTTCTTTGCATTTTAGTAGGCAGAAAGTTATCTTTCAAGTTTACCTGGACTCTGTAGATTAGTGACTGAAATGCCATGATGTTCCACTTTTAATTTTGGAGGTTCTTCTTCATCATTGTCTCCTCTGTAGAAGAAAAAACACACTGTGCTTCAGGACATGCCCAAACATTGTTATGACCAAACAGAAGAACGATATATTTTTTTCTGACCCAAAACGCAAAAATCCTATTACACAACGAGCCCATTAGGACACCGAAGCTCACTCACTCGCAAGGCGGCGACTGCAGAGGAATCACTGGCTTCGTGGACTGCTCCTTCACTGACGCAGCCATTCGACAGATGAGGTCCTGCCAGCTTCAGGAAGTGGGAAAGGAATCCAAATTACAGACGGAAAGAAAAAAATACCTTTTAAATACACTCAGAAAGCAAAACAAGAAAACAGAATAAAGCAACAATTCTGCCAACACTAGCAACGTAAGACTAGCTGAGACTCTAAAGTGATAAAGAAAACCTAACAATGTGATAGATACACTGTCCATTTATACACAGTCACTGGAAACTTCTGAGAACTTTTCTTTAGAAAATTTCTTCTGCTTGAGAAAAAAGGTTTATACTAATATTATTTAGACAAAGATATCATGTCTCCATCTTGTCCTCTGAATAACTACCCTGAAGACAATATGCAATGTATTAAGTATTGTAACTATCCTAACCTGTTTCGAAACTATTTCATTGTTATTTTATCATTTTTTTCTCATTAAAATGAATAAAAAAAGACAAGAGAAAAGAAAAGAAAATTTCTTTCACTAGAATAAAATCAAAATGAAAGATTTAAATCTAAAAAAGCCGAAGTTGTTAGGGGACAATCTTTACAAGGACAGAGAAGGAGATAGTTGGTGATAATACTGTGTTCAGTTTTCAGAGTCTTTTAAAAGGAAGTTGAGTTTGTGTAATATTACATACGGGATAATAAAAATATTAATGACAGTAAGGTAGGTGATACATACACAGTCTTTTCAGAAACTGTCTGGGCCACCAGTTCATAAATTTGGGCCCCATTATCTGACATGGAGATGACGAATAAAGCTTTGTTATCTGAAGGAAAAAAAAAAAAAACACAAAATTCATCCTTCCATTCTGATCTAGAGACTATGAGTAGTATTTCTAGGCTCTTAGGAATATTCTGCATCTTAATTCAGATAAAGTTTGTATATGTTTCCTCCCTAAAAAGTCATCAAGCTATCTACTCAAATGTATCAGTTACTACATTATATATATATATATATACACACATATACATATATATATATACACATATACATATATATATATATATATCTTAAATAAAACAAAGATTATAAAAATTAGGTACTACTCCCAGTGAAGATCAGAAACAAGAGGTCCTGGACAGAGACACAACTCAGTGGAATAAGTGCCTGCTTAGCAAGGGCAAGGACCTGAGTTTGGTCTCTGGCACTCAAAAAAGAAAAGAAAACAAAACAAAACAAATAAAAGGTCAAAGTCCAAGAACTGAACTAGGTACTATTATTCCTTTCTAACTATTTCAACTGTGCTTCTGCTAAACTGTTATTAATAATATTCAATGATTGGCAGAGAAAAGAGGTCAGAAACTTATTTTTGCCATTATGACAGTAACAAGCTTTAAAAGGGGTATTGTGGTACAGTAAAAATATAACTTGCCAATATGAACTAATCTTGAAAAAGCCAAACACCCACTTCTTCTGTTTTTATCTCCCCACCATCACCAAATCAAAAAACACACTTCTCTAGTCAAAGACCTCTTGTGGGAATTAACTTCTCAATTCTCTATCTTCACTGGCATTTATAAATGATTTAAACATGTAGTAGACCCCCAAAGAATCGCAAAAACTTTCAAAAGCAGAAAATAACTCAGAGAATCAAAACATCTTAAGTACTGCAGAGGTGTAAATTCTTAACTTTTTTTCCATGTTTTACTTCCTTTTTATGTAGCTTTTAAAGACAGGGTCTCACTCTATAGTATAGGCTAGCCTGGAATTTACTATGTTGTCTAGGGTGGCCTCCTGTCCCAGCCTCTCATGTGTTGGGATTACAGGAGTGTGCCACCACACATGGCTAAATTCAGTTTTAACAAACTTCACTTATTTTTCAAAATATCAGTAAGTAACAAAACCCTATACCAGTTGTGCTACCAACAGAGTATATCTCCCGGCGCTTTACAGTTAATCTGAGGGTTAGCATCCTCCAGTAAACATACTTGCCTGTTGCTACTTGTCGAACCAGCACTGTATTCAACTTAATGACAGGACTAAACGTGTGTTTGCTATCAGCTGTAGATGCCAGAATCTTACTGTGGCACCGCAACACCAGTTTATCATCCTGCTTTTGTAACAACACCAGAATGTCTTCCAGCAGTAATGTATATAGATCTAGAAATAAAAATGCAGAAAGGTGGGAAGTACAGAAACTGAGTAGATTTAATTTTTAATAATTTGAGTGGGAAATTTTACTTCCCTAAATCTAAAAATTGATTTGATCCATTTTTTACTGTATTTCACCAAAGCAATCGGTCTATGACCAATAAAAACTAAAAACAATAATTCTTCACTGAAGTTAGCTCAGAGTTACTGGCTTAAAGACAACTTACTACTAAGACTCACAGAAATAGGACTGATTCATGACCAGGTTTTCTGCTCCATCCCTAAATAAACATTGAACACACTCCAAATAACACAAAGTAACACAAACAGACTTCCCACAGTTGTCTAAAGAACACAAAGTAGCATGCTGACTACTGCACTGTAAACTGTGAGTGTTTCTTCCTTTTCTCCCTTTGGCAAAAAGGACCTTTATTATTCTTTCCCTTTCTCCACTACTCCCCAAAATCTGACAGATGAGTCAGACTTACCAATAGTTTTGTCCCTATTCACCTTCCAGACCAATGGTCCTTCATGAATCATCTTCCTTTTTGTTAAATCTAAATTCTGCCAAACAATAATGTATACAAATTATTTCTAAGCACTCAGATCATTTTCCATAAAATCTGATCTCTTTTCAAAACACTCTTAATGTAAGATATGATTTGCATTCAACTATTATTGCAGTCAGTTTTAAAAGGGGAATAAACCTGAAAAAAATATTTTTAAAAAGAAACGGCATCTTGCAGAAAAAACATTCAGGAATGTGTCATCTTCCAAATCTCACTCCAAATAGATGATAACAGCTTAGGAAAATGAAGCTACCAACACACAGCTACTGCATTTCCATCCCATGCCTTAGGATGAAGAAGACACATAATGTATAGCTTTGTCTCTAAGAGGCTTTTGAACCTTACAGTTCCAATTCTAAAGGAAGTTGTAAAGAATGGCATTCAACATGAAAGGCCCAATGCTCACTCTATATGTCAATAAATTATTAGTAAGAGAATTTTTTTTCCTTTTTAGCATAAGTACCACCAGGAAAAACTCAGCCTTTGACGTTAACAGGCTATGTTCATTAAAATGATTTTCCCCCACTGGTATCTAGGGATTGATCTCAGAACCTTCACCTTGAGCTACATCCCCAGCACACTGTTACTGTTTATCTTGAGACAAAGTCTTGCTAAGTCATTAGGTTGCCCAAGTTAGACTCACTCTGAGATCTTCCTGTCATAGTACTAATGATACAGTCATGCACCATCAGGGCTGGCTGCTTAGCATGCTTTCTGATAAATGTTATATATAAGACAAATCTATTTTAAAAAGACATCAAATAATCTGCCAAAACAACTATCTAGAAAAATGGTGTAAGAAACTTAAAATACTAAAACATTTATGATACAAAAGCTCAAACACTGGAAGTGCTAATTAGGGCCAGGGAGATAGCTCAGTGGCACAAGCACCTGCCTGGCAAGCACAAGGTCCTGAGTTTGATCCCTGGCACACACACACCAAAAGGAATTAGTAAATACTTCATTATCATTTTTGTAATAGTTTCAACTTTTTATAGTTTTTAAGAGCTTCAGGGGAAAAGAATTATCTTACTTTATTAGTGATACTGAAAGTTCTGGTAGTAAACAAGTAACAGGACACAGTAAAATTCAATTTACTAAGGACTAGTGCTTGTTAGTTTACTGACAGTTGCTGTCATGGAAAGTTAGTTCCTCACAAAACAGTCTTCTAACAAAAGATACAAGTAACCAGCGTACAGATCAAACATAGAAAGTCCCAATAAAATCATAAATACAAGTATGATATAGAACTCCTTCAGATGACGGAAGGAGACGTTAATTACCTGCAGTCTTTAGTACATTTTATTTTATTTTTTAAATTATGATTAGACCATCTCTCACCCTGAGCTCTTCAACATTTGGGTACTCTGACAACTTCAGATTGGAAGTATCAAGGCGACGCTGATAATCTTCTAAGCGCTGAAAAATAGACAAAATGGAATCGTGGTTACTGCTTTTCTCATCAAAGATCTCTGTTTCTAAATCAACGGACTTTTAAATCCGCATTTCATGAAGCTTGATGAGATACTGGGCATGACAGGTCATTCGCACTTTCTTAAATACCTCTGCCTGGCTACAGTGCGATTAGGCTTAGTCTTCTTTCTCTTTGCTTGTCCCTTCTCAATCCTTTTTTCAAGCTTTGGCTCCTACCTAGCTTATACTTATGTAAATTAGTTACACAGTACAATATTCAGAAAATTATATAAAACATACAAGAAAAATTCTTTCAATTTTCCTCAATTTTATCTAAAGAAGGAATCACTAGGATCCACTTCCATAGCCTTTGAGAAAAACCCTATGTCAATAGAGCGCATCCATATCCACGTACAGTGATCTCTGTGTGTGCTGAAAAGCGGCGAAAAGGATGTATGTAATCTTTCCAAACAACTGGGGACAGTACTGTGGCTTCCTATGGTATTCCTACATGCATTCCTCATCCAAATGGCAGGTTAACATTTTCACAAACATGTTTCTGTGTGTATGTGTGACTTATCAATGTATCTTGGAGATTGTTCCACATTAGGTCACTCAGAGAGACGTCTAACTCTTTTTCAATAACCACACAGCATTTAACTGTGAATAAACTATAATTTAACTTCATCTTAGTGATGATAAATCAGTTAACTCCAAAGTTCTCCAATAACAAACTCTGTATTAAGATGACCTGAACACTTGTGCAGATGTAACTATAGAATAAATTTCTACAAGAACTACTACATTCAAGGGTAGTGTATTCAAGGGTATAAGCTTCATCAACAATTCTTTTTTTTTTTTTCATCATCAATAATTCCAAGCATGGGGCCGGGGAGATGGCTCAGTGGAATAAGTGCTTCCCTGGCAAGCACAAGGGCCTGAGTTCAATCCCCGGTTCGGCCAAAAAAAAATAATAATAATAAAAAATAATTCCAAGCACACAGAAAAGTTTCAATATGTATAATGACTATCTATTAGCTATATCAACCACACATGTTGGTATAATTACACTCTATTCATCTATTCACCGTTTTAGTTACACAAACATCATATATTTCAAAATAAATCACAGACATAGGTACAGTTTAACCCTAAACACTTCAGGATAGATACCAATAACAAGAGTTCATTATCTGCTTATAGTTCTTTTTAAAGGTCAAATTTACATGCTGTGAAATGAATGTTTTTAAAGTCTTTCTACAAATTTGGACATGTGCATATATACCTTTACAATTCAAACTCTTATCAAGATATGAAAAATTACCAGAGCACCCCAGAATGTGTTCTTGCACTTCTTCTCAGTTAGTATCCACTCGCACATCTCCAGGGGCAACCTTTTTAAAATATTTTCTGCCACAGACCTAGTCTCTCAGTTCATATAAATAGAACTGCACATATTACTTTGTGTCTGGGTTCTTTCACTCAGCATATTAGTGAGAGTGATTCCTTTTTATCACAAGTAGTATTCTATTCATGACGATACCACAGTTGGTCTATCCACTTTCCTGCAGATGATCAATTCTTGGGCTGTTTCCAGTTTCTGGCTGTTTTGAACAAAGCTGCCATAAACACTCCTATATAATTCTGTTTGTGGGCATAAATCTTCATTTCTCTTGACTAAAATCACTACAAACAGAGTTGCTGGGTCAAAAGGTAGAAGTACTAGGCAGGAACATTTTACTTTAAACACTGCCAAATTTTCCTCTGGCGCCTTATCATTTTATATTCCAAACAATACATTGCAAGTAATTTTTTAAAAAATTTTTAAAAATCATTTACTTTATTTGGCACAGGGTCTTGCTATGAAGCTCAGACTCATAGTAATCCTCCTGTCTCAGCCTTCCCAGTGTTGGGACTACAGGTATGCACCACCACACCTGGTTTGGGGGCCAGCATGGCATGCAGTACTGGAAATCAAACCTGGGTCACTGCACTTGCAGGGCAGGTGCTTAGTGCCAAGCTATCTCCCTAGCCAAAAGTAACTATTTTTCTACAACCTCCATAACAAAGTCATCATACCCAGTTTCTAAGATATTACACCCATTGTCCATGGCTTCAATTAACCTATAAATGTTCATTTGTTCACAATTTTTGTTGTTGTTGCTTCTGTTTGTTTGGTTTTTGTTTTTTGAGACAGGGTCTCACTATGTAGTTCAGGATGGTCATGAATTCATTATGCCTCAAACTCGTGGTACTCCTCTTGGATCAGCCTCCCGAGTGCCGGGATTACAAACATGGGCCACCATGCCTGGCCAATCGTAGGCTTCTATCTTCAGCATAGTCCTCTTGGAGGTGGACCTATATAGCTAACTGCTTACTGCACGTTTCCATCTGAAATCCAAGCCAAACTCATCATCTTTCCCACAAGCCTGAAAATCTCCTGACCATCCACATACAAAAGCCAGAAAGCTGGGGATTTGATTTTGATATCACTGCTCAAGTCTTTCTCTGAACCAGTAAGCAAGTCCTGCCAAGTTTACATGCTGAATATTTCTCCAGATTCGTCAATTCTCTACTCTAGTTGTACTGCTAACAGATTCATGACTGGGTTCTCCCATTCACTAACTTCCCCTTTAATGCAACCTCCACAGAACAGTATAAGTGATAAAATGAAATGGTAAACATCTTATATACCTTTAATGACTCCCTACTGCTCTTAGTCTTTAACATGTGAAAAAGTCTTTATATAATTTGGTTCTAACCTATCTTACCTCTTTTTATGACCCTGACACTTTTTAAGCTCATTCTACACTCATCATCGTTCAGTTACTCACACAGGCTCTGCTTCCTGGGTATGACAGGACTTCTGCACACAGTGGATCCTCTACCTTTGCTACCCACGTCCACACAGCTTAGGTTCTTTTCTACTCATCCTTTAGAGCATGTCTTAAACATCAGTTCTTGAGAAAGCTTTTCTTGATGACCACTACTTCACATCCCCAAACTCAACGAGGCTGCCCAGTTAGATACTAACAGTACCCTGGAATTCTCCTTCATAGCAGTTATCACATCCTGCTAGAAAACAAGCTCAACACTGACAGTCACTGTTTTCATTTTCTCACTCTATGTGATTTACAGTCTCAACTACTGTATGTCTAATCACCTACATAGAACAGCATATGTTCTACAATTATCTGTTGAACTCATACAGGAATGCATGAGGAAACAAACACCTAGAGACACTCAGAACAGTAAATATAACTCTGATATTCTATCACAAATTTATCTAGACTCATGTACTACATGAATAGCTAACAAAATCCCTGTCCATCACTTATGTAACGATCACCTTATTTATTAGTTCAGATTCCAGGGACTGCTACCTTTATATCCTTGACACCATCCTGTACCTTCTTGGTTTCCCTTTTTACCTGCTTGTTTTCTGCCTCCTTGACAGCCTGATTGACATAGTTTAGTATCTGACGACAGTGATCTGCAGCTTTCTTCACCTTCTCCCTTTCTGTGGGCCATTCTAAATGAGGGAAGAAACCCAAAATGGGAAATGAAGAAAATCAGAAAAATATACATATGACATTTCAGCTTATTTTAACAGTTTTAAGTACATACTAAGACCCTAAATATTTTCAGACCAGTTAAAACCTACGGTAGTCTCAACTCAGAAGTCTTTGGACAGGTGAGACTTTGATGACCCGTGTTTCCCCCCAAATAAAACCTAACTAGAGATAAAAAAAAAAAAAAAAATGCCAGCCCCAATCAGCCTATCTTTGCCTTACTTACCACGACAGAATAACCACTGTGAAACACAGTAGTGAGGTATGATCTTCTGTATGACACTGGCCATCACTATAGTAACGAGCTATTAATTACAGCTGACGTTTATTTTCCACTCAGGTCTTATTTTTGAGGAAACACAGCAGTACATTAAAACAAAAATTCATATTTAAAAACAAAAAAACCTATAGTATAGTATCTTAAATCTAGAAGTGATGTTTTCCAGAAAGTAGTGTGGTCACAGTGTTACATATTCCAGGAAGCAAGTCTCATTCACTGTTTAAGCTACACAAGTGGGACCCTTTTTGCTCCTGGAATTTCACAGTAGAAAGCTTACATGACTATGTCCAGTGAATCTGTTAAGAAATGTTTTTGAGTAACTCAATTCCAAAATATTTCTTTGAATTTGAGATTGTATTTAAAAAAAGAAAACAGATTATAACATTGTATCATTGAGAGATGAAGTTCACCAAAATATGTTGATACTACATCATTTCTACAGTCTAAAGAAATCAGAGCCACAATATCTCACATTATAATTGAATTTAAATAACAGTGCAGGTACACTGAAAAGAAACTAAAAAATAAAAATGAACATGTATAAATGTAAAACTACTTATTTTGCCAAATGCTGTCATTTTAAATTACCCAGTTATGCATTCACAGTCTCAGGCCTAAGAAGCAGTAGTTTGGCTGTGTAGTATTATTAATAAAAACTAAGCATAACAACCTAAAGCTCAACTGAGAAACTCAGATTCACCTCATATTTCAAAACAGGAGAGCTGGAATTATAAATGCATTGGTTTGCTTAATAAAAATAAGTTACATATATGGATAGATAACCTCTTCAACCCAATAGTGACTCTCTTTAAAGAAAAAAATACGTTAGAGTAAGCTTTTCCTATAAAAGCTCAGATGATAATTATTTTATACTTTTCAGGCTAAATGGCCTCTGTTGTAACTATTCAAATCTGCCAATATAATGTGAAAAACAGGAAGAGACAGATATAGTAGATGAACATGGTTGTGTTCTCATAAAACTTGATTTATGAAAACAGACAGTGCCTGATTTGGCTCACGATGCAGTTTTCCAAACTGTGCTAGAGCTACCAATAGAGTATATTAAATTAAACAGGCTGAAAGAGACTAAATTTTATCTTGTTAGAAAATTTTACCACACTATTTGGAAATCCAATTCTAGATACTGATATGTTGGGATAGATCGGTTAGCAGGACATGTTTTTATTTGGTGTTTGTTTCTAGCTTTTTTATTTCAGTGAGAATGTAATACCTGTGTATTTTGCAATATTATCCAAAAGAAGTGGGTACTTGGTAAGCCTCTGCATTTGAGTGGGAATGATATCCTTCAGCTGAAGACGACGACACAATGGATTACTCTCAGCATCCTGAAATTAAAGTTTGTTAAGTGAACCTGTAGTTCTTATTAAGACAATACCTATCTAACATGTAAAATGTATTCGATTTTTTAAAATACCCAGACTTATCTTTCTATGTGTCTGCTCTCCTTTAATCACATACTGGAGGAAGGCAAACTTTAACACTGAATCAATGATTTCTGCTGTTTAGGCAAAGACAGAGCGTCCATAATCAATTCCAAGAACTGCTTAACTTTTTTGTGTTAAAACAACTATATCTTCATCTACTTAAGACATCTAGGCACATCTTCTTGACTAGCATTCCTACAGATTCGTATTTCATTCCAAGTAGATATAATGGCTCACCAATCTATATACGCTAGCTCATCTTTATTTTTTATACATATTTATTGAGAAATAAATAGAATGAGACAGTTTCACAGCTGATTAATAGGACAGTTTTGATAGTCAATACACTGTACATTGTTATCTTCTTAGTGGTTATCCATAGTACAAGAAGCAGACAGGATATTCTGTCCAAAGACTGTTAGTACACCTCTTTCTTCTCATTAAGCAAAGTAGCTGTAAGTTTATCCTATTTTGTATACATAAATACAAAATAATCTTTCCTTTGGCTAGCTCATCTTTACCAGAGATCTCCAAACCTTTCAGTCACATTCCAGTCAGTAAATACTTATGTTTTGCAGGCCAGCTACTCAACTCTGCTGTATTAGCACAAAAAATAGCTACAGACAATCCATAGATCAAACAAACAAAACAAAAACAAAAAATCTCTCTAAGATGGCTTTGTAGATTCCAACATCTTGTGCGCACATCCCATATAATCCCATACCTCTAAGTGAGGATGAAATCTGCAAATACAAAAAAATGATAGAAAATCTTTCTTATGATTAGTTTATCATCAGTTAGTTAATCAAAAAGCAGATCATCCTGGGTAGGCCTGACTTTCAAAGCAGCCTTTGAAAGAGAATCTGGGCCAGAGAGATGCATTCCAGCTAGCCTGGAGTAAAGCAAAAATCTACCTGTGAACTGCCTAAGCATGCACAGAGATAAGGGCATTCCCTAGAAGCCCATACCACTTCCTTCACAAAACGCTGGGGACCTGAGTTATGTATTTGCAAGGAAATTAATTCTTATAACAACCACAGAGCTTAGAAGAGGCCCAAGTCTCAGAAAAAAACTGCAACTATAGCTGACATTTTAATATCAACCTGGTAAAACCCTGAAGAAAATATCCAGCTAAACTGTAGTAATACTCCTCAATCATAAAAACTTACAATGATAAATTTACAGGAAGTGGCCACATTATACCAATTTGTGACACAAGACAGGAAGTGAATACATCTTGTTACAATAGAATTTTTATTTAAACAACAGGCTGGATGTGGCCTTTGGATCAAGTTCGCAGGCTCTTCCCAGTACCAATACGCACTCCTACCCTAACGAGTATGACTGCTGTTATCACATTCCCTGAGCCTGATAGACACCTATTCTCATACTTTAACAATATTTTTTATTGGTGTAAATGCCACATTTCCTGATAAAACTCCCACGGCAACATGGATTTCTATGTCTCAAGTATTTTATTTTTTTCCTTTTTTGCATTTTTAGGGAAGGGTCTACAGGGTTTTCAGAGTCTCACTACTAGATCAGACTCGTAGAATGATCCATGTGTTTACAGCCTCTCAAGAGTATGTCAAGTATTTTAATGGATACATATTCTCTATTATTCTTCAATCCAAAATGATCTTTATGCCTTTCAGTAATTTAAGAAACATTATATGGCTTTTTAAAATAACACAAATGTAATCCTTTTAAAAGACATTCTAATTTGTGATAGCCAAATCTTGGAAACAACCAAGATGCCCATCACCTGAGGAATGGTTGAGAAAGATGTGGTATTTTTACACAATGGAGTATTATTCAGCTATTAAGAATGATAAACTGCAAGCCTTTATATTGAAGTGGATGCCACTTGAACATACACTCATAAGTGAAATAAACCAGACACACATGTGTAAATATCGTAGTCTCCCTAGTATAAGAACTCCAAAGAAGAAAAACAAATAGAAAGACATAATACAAGGAAAGGGAAAGCAGGATCTCAAGGACTAACTAATCAAGAGAGGGAATTGTGATGAGTTAGGAAACATGACAATGTTAAGCCATGCAGTTATATGTAAAAGATGAGCAAGGCAATGATCCGGAGAATATTCAGAAGATTCTTTAATCTAGGAGTTAATTGGAGGGATTCTCGCCCTGACTGGCTATGTATGCTGGTGCCTGTGGACTGGGCTGCTGCACTGCAGATGCTGATTTGTAGTAGTGGTTTCGTGTTGGGAGTGCCTGTCATTGTGGTATTCTGAGTGTGGGCGGCTTGTCATGACATGCCAGTTACTGCTGGGATGTCTCTCGGGTGGGTGGATGTTCGGGGGAGAGGGGGGTGGTGGGTGGGGGCGGGAGACAGGAGGGGGAATGTTGTGGGACTGTCCTGCTTCGGGGTTGTGTGTGGTGGGATTTTTGGACTTATGTGCAAACGTGAGAAGTATGGAATTCTTTGTCCTATTTTTAAAATATAATCTAATTTTTGAATGTTTTTTGTCGTATTATGTAGGGACTTGGGGTTCAACATGTCAATGCTTGATGGGAAGTGCCTGTTCCTTGTTATGCCTGGGGTGTTTGGGATGCAGTGAGATGGCGAGGTTGAGCTTGATAGCCTGGATCGTTTGATAGTGACAATGAGCTTGTCTTCTGGATGGTCGGCAGCCTGAGTTTGCAGACCAAGATTAGAGGAGGGGGAGGGCTGCAGGGAAGGCCAACATTTTGGCCCTAGTCTTCTGGGGTCGATTGAGACTCGGGACATATGAGAACCTGTACTGTGGTGTCGTGTGCCTCGGTGGTGTCCCGAGTTTTCTGATCGGGAGGATTGTGGGGCCAGGGAGGAGAGAGGTCGATGATGTGGGGTGTGCCTGGGGAGAGTCGCGTGGGGGGAGAACACTCTCTCGGGCTTTCGCAGAGAGCACGTTGGCCGGGCAGTGGCCGTGGCTCGTCCGCATGGCTGCGCTGACGGGGGTTCTGCGGTCTGGGGTACGGGATCTCAGGATGGATCCTGAGGGCATTTCGCTGGCCTTCTCAGACCAGAGAGATGTGGCTCTTATTGCATAGGTCCTGCTTTGCCTTGGTCTTGACCATCCAGTGGGGGGTATGAAGACGGAATATAGGAAATGGAGCCGTGCTGTTGGGTTGAGCTGTGAGGGACTCAGGTCAATGGTTTCTGATGTTGCCGGTTGAACAGAGGACCCAATGCTATTGTGGGCTACTGGACTCTTTTAGAGTGTTTTGCTGAGTTTGCACACCTATGGTATTCAATGACGGAACTTGGAAAAAGTGGGGTGTGCCTATGAGTGTCCATTTTGTATCTGTGTGTTCAGGGTAGTTGGGATGGATATATGGTTGCATTCTCTTAGTGAATGGAATGATTTGTTCTGATGGTGTTTGTAGGTGGGATCACAGGTCCGCATCTTGTACAGCGGTTAACCACTAGGAGGAATAATAGCAGTGTGTTGTTTGTTGAAACTGTGCTTCCGATTTGATTTGAAACTGTCTCATTGCTATGTTTATCAATAAAACTTTGAAAAAAAAAGACATTCTACATCAAAATCCTCCAAGTTCATTCTACAATTGATTACAAACTCTTGTTCTTTTCTTTCTTATGTGATTCACTCTACTCACTTGCACAAAAGTCTGGAATCGAGAATCCTTTTTCTGACGAGACTTGATCATTTCCAGGGCGAAAGGCTGGTTACTGCAAAATGTAGCAGCAGCATGTTTCAACTTCTCCTCTTCTGGTCCACTGAACTGTGCCAAGAACACAAAGGAAACAATACAGAAGGGGAAAATGAACTTAAATAGAAGGCTGGGTGAAACGTGAGAGGAAGGGCTGGCAAGACAGCTCAGTGGACTAAGCAGTTGGTTAGGCCAGCAAGCTGTGTAGTGAGACTCTGTACCCAATACATTAAAAAAATAAAATAAAATAAATAAAAGTGAGGCAACCACAATCCTTTTAATATTCCAGGAAGCATTCTTTAGGGACAAAAAATACAATTTTTTTTTTCTTTTTTTGGCTGAACTAGGGATTGAACTCCAGTCCTTGTGGTTGCCAGGCAAGCACTTATTCTACTGAGCCATCTCCCCGGCCCAAGGGACAAAAAATATAGAGCTGTGTATTCCTGTACACTAGCAATGGTTCTTCACTGAAGAGGTCCCACCCTGATACCCCTCACTATGTGCCAATGTTTCCTTTCTGGTGTCTTTCCATAACTTGTTATCTTGTAACCTGCATCACTTCTAAATTAGACAGACAGGCTGACATCTGGAGACCGTGAGACACAAGATGGCCAGAGAATGGTATTAAAAGTCATCTCCGTAGACTCAGCATTTGTACAAAAAGTATTCTCTTACTGCTCCACAAAGCACCCACTTGGGATAATGGCTTTTTTCCCAGCCACTGTGCAGTGGAAAAGCAGCACTTAGCCAACTAGGACTAGGGCAGAAGTCAAAGCAGACGACCGCACCTATACGCAGACTGGAGAGAGGGAGATCCGTGAGCTTACGAAACCTTTTAGCTAAAAATAGTAATTTTTCTTAATATTTTAATATTTAAATTCAAGTTTTAATATGCCATGATTTTAAAATTTATAATGAAACACCCAGGCTTCAATCAGAAGGTCCTTCTAAGTCAAATAAGCTATTTTAATACCAGCTCTATATTTCTAAAGAATTGCTTTAAAATTTACCAAGAGACTTTCTATGTAATCTTTCATTTAAATCTATATTCCCAAAAATTTATAAATGAGGACAATTTGCAAGAAGTCCTTTTGTAGTATATTTGTAGATAAACTAATTTTTCAAGCAGGCTGCATATAAGGTGTTCTTTAATAGCTCAAATGTCTCTTCTTACTCCATCAGAAGCATGATGCGCGGGCGGGGGATGTAGCTCACTGCTACAGTACTTGCCCAGCATGCACAAGCCCCTGGGTTCCATCCTAATACTGTGTATGTGAATAAATGAATAAATAAGAAACATGACATGCTTAGAGATGAGACTGGCAGCATTTTTAATATATTTGTCAATCAAAGTGACATACAAATACAAAGAGAAACTCAGTTAACAAAAGAAAATAACACTGCCCACCTTGAGTATTTATTTGTACAATAACTTTACAAGCATCATAGACCAACATAAGAAAAACTCTCAAGAACTATTTGTTTAAAAATAGCAGAAGGGGTCAAGGGTGTAACTTCGTTTGACAGCAAATGCATAGCATGTGCAAAGCCCTAGGTTTGATCCCCAGCACCACAGAAAAGAAAACGCATACTACAACTAGCAGGAATAAAAGGCTTTATGATTTTTTTGTTTCTAGGACTTCTGGTCAATGCTTTCCCATAAAGTAACCCTTGATATGCAACACTTAACCAACTGGATTCGTTCATTCTGTGTTTTCTCAACTTTTCGTAAGTACACCATGTAAGTCAAAAATATACTTCTGCTTACATGTTCTGAAGAAAATCTTTTGTCTCACTCTTTTCACAGGTTTTTTTGGGGGCCTACCCTTGTTTAAGTGCCTGCTTATGCAAAGGCAGTCAGGAGCAGGATACCAAGGTTCGATCCCCAGCTAGCCCTGCCCTTCAGGCAGCCTGAGCCACCAAAAAAAAAAAAAAAAATCCTTTTCACAGTTCTTTGGTTTTTTGCTTTATTTTGCCCAGTAGATTTATGCAGTCTAATGGACTGTGATAAGAAAACCAACTGCACTTTTGTATCTTAGTAATCAAGTATCTCACTTAAGCTTGTCCATTATTTTACAGGGGAGGGAAATGAACTTGCTTAATAATCAAGGTGCACTATCTTAGGTGCAAATACTTTACAACTTTTTAATTCAAGTAGGACCTGGAAATTGATGTCTTATAAAAGGATATCATGCACAAAACTTTCAATGCCATTGAAACTTTCAATGCTGCTCAAGTTGAGCAGCATGCTGAATTCATAATTGTCACGGCTATACTAAGATCAAGACAAGCTGTATCACTAAGAGTAGCCATACCAAATTTAGCAAGCTAAATTTTTCGCAGTTAAATCCTCTTAGTAAAACTAACACACAAGTGGGCTTAGGATAGACTATGCTTTGGAAAAATGTAACAAATGAAAGTAAGACTGGATTATGATTTCTTGCTCCTGTTCTGAGTCCAGTATTTAAAAAAGATAACTACTATTAGATTAGGTAACTGTAGACCATGATCTCACCAGTAAGATAAAGAAATCTGTAAAATGAAGAACGCATGGGTTAACTTTCCAGACTTTAATCTTTTAAAAAAGTTATAAGTATAAAAGCACCAAAATTTTGTAGCACTTCCTAGAATAGTGTATATCAAATGAAGTGAATTTCTGTAGGTATTTCTAAACCATTCTTGTTCAGCTTCTGTTAAAATTCTGAGACATAAACCATATACTTTAACATTACTAACTGCATTGACTATACAATAGTTTTTGAAAAAATTTAAGTCAACTCCTTTTTTTCTTTTTTTGTATTTTAGGGAAGGGTCTACAGGGTGTTCAGGGTCTCACTACTAGACAGGACTCATAGTGATCTGCCTGTTTACAGCCTCCCGAAAGCTGGGATTACAGGCACACGCCACTATGCCCAATCTCAATTGCTGTCTCAGGGCGCTCCAGGGGCAGGGCCAGCACAGCAGGCCTGGGGATTGAACCCTCGGCCCCTGCACCTGCTTGCAGGGCCTTTAATTCGCGGAGCTATTTGGCTGGTCCTTGACTCCTTTCTATGTGTTCCAATTTTGGGTTCTCTGCTATATAGTGCCATAACAACCCGTATTCTTTCCTTTTTGTTACACTTATCACTTTTTAAATAACCAAGACACTCTTTTCACATTAATTACTAGCTCTCAAGGGCAGGAGCCATGTCTCTTTTGAGTACCACCCTGTCCGGCACTTTGCACAGCACTGTTCTATATACTGACCATGTCAGAAGGACAGAATTGGATGAACAAGTACTATACTCTCTGGACTCTCATACTACATACAAATAAGGCCACAGAACGCTCATTTCTCTACCAGCATGATGGCAGCTCTGGATCTATAATTGTATATTTATATAGTTGTTAAGATTTAAACAGAAGATGGGTAAAGTTCTGTATTAAATTATTTTTATCAAGATCCATTTTACTCTGTTCTTTAAAACACAAAGATGCTATCTGTTTATCAATAAAACTTTGAAAAAAAAAATAAAACACAAAGATGAGTACCATTATTTCAATGAAAAAGAACACTCGGTTTCAGCACTAATTAGAACTTACTAACGAAAACAATACATACCTCTACCCTTCCCAGCTTTATACTAACTTTGCAAATCTCAGTTTATATATTTGGGAAGACTTGCCCTGATAATTAGGTGTCTGTAAAAATATTAAAAAGAAACAGGAAATTTTCTTACCCAGCTCAGCAAATCTTCCCCAATATGATCTATAACAGAAGTCTCGTTCCTCTTTCGAACAGCCTTCATTTGCTCATTCAATCCAACTTAAAAAAAAAAAAAATTAAACACACAAATTTTTGGCTGAATTATGGGTAGTACTAAATACCTAGATTTTTCAAGGCAGGAATTTTCATGCCATGCAGGTGGTGCATGCTTGTAACCTCAGGTACTCATGAGGTGGAGGGAGGATAATCGTAAATTCAAGGTCAGCACGGGCAACTTGGACTGTTTCAAAATTTAAAAACTAAGAGCCAGGACTGTAGCTCAGTGCTCTCCATATTTAATTTCTAGTACTTGAAACACACACACACACACACACACACACACACACACACACAAATTTCAGAGAAGCAACAGTATTCCAACATCCTTAAATATAAATATGGACATAACACTTACACACCTAGATACTGCAAGTCTGAACTACTAAAGAACCAAACAACGTTTTTAGAAACTAGCACATTACAAACATTATAGTTGCATCCAATACACATTTAACCTCAAAACTTCATATATAACCATGTTCAAAAAGAATTTAAGTAAAAATAATGCAGGTGATTCTGTTACCATTCCTCTCAAAATAAGTATGTGCATAGTTATGGATACAAGCAAGCCTGAACTTCTGGTAAGACCTAAGGCTACCCCTAGAGTTGTAAAGGGCATTCACTGACTTGGCTGGTAGGTGCTGAATCGACAGACAGTAGTTATGCACTTGACAGAGACTGAAAACTAAGGGTCATAGAGAAATAGTGACTTACAAAGTGAGGAACATCCCCCTGTTATCTACAAAAGTCCAAGATGCCTCATTCAGGGAAAGTCACAGGTAGTGTATCTGTGTATTTATAAAATGTGTGCAAAGCAAAACAATATAACAATTCCTCAAAAGTACTCCACCATGGGGCCTGGGGAGATGGCTCAGTGGAATAAGCGCTTTCCTGGCAAGCGCAAGGACCTGAGTTCAATCCCCGGTTCCAAAAAAAAAAAAAAAAAGGCATGTTTGCTAAGCATAAAAGTACTCCACCATGGGTAATAACAATTATAATACTAATACTGCACAGTACTATTTATGAAATACATTTAAGCATATATTATTACATGGGATACATATATATTTTAAATCTTAGATACTATATTTGATAGGAAGTTTTCAAGGGTAATTCTGACTATTCATGTTTTTCAGCTTAAGCACTGATTTTATTTTATTTTAGCACTGATTTTAAGAAGGTCCAGTCATTTCTTTATTTACCCCATGTGTTCACATACAATTTTAGGCATACACAAATAATGTATAATCTATACAATTATATACTCTCAGTGTTTTCCTCTATTGGAAATGTAGGGCAAAGATCAGAGCTAATTCATCTTACTATGAAGCTGAAGAATATCTTCCAAGTTTGAAAAAATCTTCCGTAATTCTGAAGGTGACAGAATTCCTTCTCTGGACACTCGCTGATAGAATACTTGGTCAAGAACCTTCAATGTTCGGACATGAGCTCTTTCAGTGTAGAACAATTCTAAGATAAAAAATAAAGGGTGTGAAATGTTCTTACTTAGAATAATTCCAAAGGGTCAAATAATTTTTAGTTGAAATTGGGAAGCAAACGAGTTATATAATAAATTATTCATGTAGGAAGAATGACTCATCTCTGAAGCCACTTCGATTCCACGAAATTCTCTTACATAGTGCAGTGTTCTGAGTTAAAAGCAAGCTATGACTCAAAACTATTTTATACCTAAACTGGGCATGGTAGCGCATGCCTGTAATTTTAGGACTCTAGGAGGCTAAGACAGGAGGATCAGAAGTTTGGGCCCAGCCCAAACCTGGACAGTTTAGTAACTTAGCAAAACCTTGTCTCAAAATAAAAAGGGCTGGGAGTATATTTCAGTGTATAACTGCAAAAAATAACAACAAAAATTTTTTAAAGCATATATTGTACTTAAAAATTAATAGCTCATCCCCAAACATCCAATTGTTTATCTATCATGACCAAAATATTAGAAAACTATAAATATCAACTCTCAAAATATCGTAAGACTTTAAGCCATTTTCAGAATATAGGGTCTTGGCTTATCTAATCTGCCTAAAATAAAGGCAAAATAGACTGGAATTTCACTACATCACAAGGTTGTCAGAGACAAGGAGAATATTTAATCAAATAATGTCCTAAGGATAGTACAGGACACAGCATCTAAGCCACACATCTGTCACATACACATTGGGGCAGCTAAGAAGCACGGCAACAGGGTACAGGAAGAGCTAGAATCTGGTGTCCTTTCATCAGCTAAATGACCTTGATAACTCAACTGTTTTTGTTTTCTTTAGCATCCTCTTCATGCATAAAAAATCTCTTAGACTGGTTTGAGACCTATAAGGTGATGGATCCTAAGTATCTTGAGAGCTACACACCCGCTCCTTTTACACTGTCAGTAAGAAGCATAGAATCATTTACATTTTTTAGTTGAAAGATTTAAGAATTTTCTATCTAGTTTATTTCTCTTTGTTGACAAAAAAAGGCTAAGAAAGCCTGAAGCATACTCTAAGGCTGAGGAGTCTGCTTTATTCTCGTAAAACTTAACACATGTGAAGAACAGATTGATTAAGCTCACCGTTGATCACTTCCTGCCTTTTGATCTCACAAGGTTTCAGTCCCAGTAACACTTCTCGACTAACAAGCTGCTGCCAGTTGGGTGGATCTGTTTCTAGGTCATTTTCAAATTGCTCGTCCTCACTCTGACTCTCTCCAAAGGCTATGCTGTCAAACCTAATGAAAAAAAATGATGAAATCTATTTGAGAACTTCAAGTGAACAACAGGAAACTGCACAGCTCTTAGTGCTGCCATAATTCAGCCAGCTTTCTAAATCTCATTCAGCACAGAGCCTCGAACATATCCGTTTCCTACAAAATGTTTTCCGCAGGCTATATACACTTTGATATGTATCTTTTGATTTGTGTTCATTAAAATTTTTCTTTTATACTATTTAACACATTTATGTACAAGGCTTAATATAAAATGAACAAAAAATAAGCAAGAAAATAATTTTTAAATCTAAGGGGAAAAAACATCTCATAAAAAAGAGTCCCTCACTGAATGCAATCCTTCAGTGAAAGTTACTACTGGGTTACTTACTTTCGGAAGGGCTTTGGTGTCCCATGTTCTGTCAGCCTTAAAACAATGAAGAATAGAGTCAAAAGAAAATGAAAATGGAGATCAAGATATTTATACCAAAGTACCCAAAATAGAGTTAAATGCCAATGGCTAGATAAACAATTCTATTCTCCCAGATATAGGAATTATTTAATATAAAATAAACAGAAAAATTCAGTACCTTACTAATATTTACTACAAACAAGTGCTAATTCTTCCAAACCATTACAAAAGGGAAAAAGTCACAAAGTACAGAATAGCACCCAATTAAAAACACTTTAAACAGCCCTAACCCTCTCTAAGATCTTACTAAATTACCTTTCCACTTCACACTCCTCCTCCTGAACTTGGTCTAATGGAGGAGGAGGGAAATCAAAGATGGTATTGGGAGTACGAGGTGCGCTATCCAAGGAGTCTCCAGATGCCAGTGTTTCTCCAACTTGTTTTAATCCTAAAATGATAAAAGTCAGACATTAGTATAGTGTTAATATTAGACGAAGTCAATGATTATAGAAAAGTTAGTCCAGAGAAAACCTGTTTCACAGTAACATTTTTAGTTAAATATTTTCAGGCTCGCTAGAACCAAAATAATGAACAAAAAATAAACAAGAAAATAATTTTTAAAGTATTCCTTAAAAATCAACATAAGACAGCAAAAACTCAGTTCAGAAGTATATATGACTAGGAGTAACATCCTCCCACATTATCCTCTTCTACTTCCAGAATCGACTTTGTTACTGATTATACTTGGATGTCTCCCCAGAGCCACAAGTGCACACAGGTGGGGCTTTGGGAAATGGCCGGTCATAGAGGTGCAATGACCATCAGTGAACGAAGCCCAGCTGACCTGCTGTTAGGAAGTGGGATCTGGTCCAAACAGGTAGGTTACTGGAGGGCACGGCCTGAGCTTGCGCTCTCCTGGCTTCCCAGGTGCCATGCCATGAGCTGTTTTTCCTCTGCCATGCCACCCTGCCTTGGAGCCAGACAAATATAGACTGAACCCTCTATAACTATGAGCCAAAATAAACCTCCACTCCTCTAATTTGTTGGTGTTCAGTACTGTATCCCAGCAACAACCAAAATACAAATCCTTTTTCATGTTTTAAATTTTAGTTATTATGGTGTTTGAACTCCAAGTAATAACCTGTTATTTCTTCTTCTTGATTTACTATTTTAGGTAATACCTAATTCTTTGCTTTCTGATGATTTTGCTCATTTACACTTCTATACACACTTTTCTATACAGTCCTACGGGGACCACTCTCATACACGTAGCCTATTCTTTATCTAACTGCTGTTATGTGGCACACAAATGCACAATGAATGAAATGTATGATGAATGAAAAGGGGATTCATCCCCAGTGTCCTTAGAAACCGTAGGTACACTAAAAAGTATGATGTTTAATAGTTACATTATCAAATATGATTAATAGTTATTATCAGCTGGATCATTAGTTATTGTCTAAATTAAACTCTGTATTTATGTTCCATCAAGGAGTTTGTATCTCAACTCTTTTCTATTAGATTAGGGACTTAGTATGCATATCTTTCCCTCTAACAGTATTTCTTTCAGCTTGCATTCCTTTCAACTGTATTCTTATTTATATGAAATGATTTCTGACACTTGGGAAAATATTCTGTGCTTTGCTTACAATGATTCTAGAAGTCCAAAAATCAAAAAAGCATGTTGACATTACTATAATCTGCATTTACAATCTAGAATATATATATATGTATATATATGTGTGTGTGTATATA